CTCTAGAGAAGAATTCTGGGCCTTTTCAACTTCTGGTGGCAGATGGCATCCATGACTTCTTTGATTGTGTCACCCCAATTTCCATGGTCACACTACAGCCTTCTATTCATATCTGTGTCATAACTTGTATCTTTTATGAAAACATTTGTTAACTGACTTTGCAACCATTCATATGACCCAGGGTTATCCCATTTTAAGATCCTTGAGTATGTCTGAATAAGGTCATCATATTCTCAGGTTCCTGGTATTGGAAGGGCATAATTTGAGAACCCCCTATTCAACCCTACACAGAGTCCACTTAAAAGGTTATTTTTAACATCTTATGTACTATTAGACCCTATGGGGGTCTAACAGAGACCAGGTCTGCCAGAGGTCAGGTGGCTTATAAGCAACAGAAATTTATGTCGAGCCATTCTGGAGATGGGCAAGTCCCAAATCAAGGGCTAGTATATTCATTGTTTGGGGAATGAATCCTTCTTCACAGGTGGTGCCATCCCTCTGCATCCTCACATGATGGAAAGTGCAAGGTAAGTTGCTGAGGCCTATTTTTTTTTTTTTTTTTTTGGACTGGCCCAGGCTGCATTATGGATGGGTCTGGTGAGGCATGTGGGGCTGGGGATTGAACCGTGGTCCACTGCGCCTGACTGAGTTTGCTCAAACAGGCACATTAGACAACTGAACTAACCCACAGGCCCCACTGAGACCTATTTTACAAAGGAAATAGTCCCATTCCTGAACAGTCTCCCTCACCACCTAAAAAGATATCATCCTTCAAAGATACTATCTCCTGATACCACCACTTTTGTGTGAGGATTTCAAAACTACAGTATGGGGATGGGATAAAGAAACCTACTGGTGGTAAATTGTATCCAAAGTGATAAAATATTTATTCCACCTTTGTATTTTAAATTAAAACTTTGTGAGAAGTCATGTATGTATCCTGTAATCCACAGGAATTTAGTACATTTAAGAAAAAATAATAAAAACACCAATAGATAAAATGCTTTACCAAAATATCAATGTAATTGAAAATAAGAAAAAAAAAAAGGAAAACCAGAAGAATAGCAACATAGCAGTAGGCTTAATGGGTAACTAATAATAATACAATAAACCTAAATTAAGCCATATAAATGATTATATTACATATGGAAGGTTTTCTTCAATACAAAAATCTAAATTATATGGTTGGTGATGAAAACAAGCTCCAACTACATGCTGTCAAGAAGAAAACCACTGGAGAAATAAGTGACATAGATAGCTTAAAAGCAAAAGCCTGAAAAAAAATGACAAATCAGCAAACTCTATAATAAAAGAACTGGAGTGCCCATAGTAATATCTGGAAAAACAGAGTTCAGAACATGGAAAATTACCAAGAATGCAAAGGGACTTTACCTAATGATAAAGCCTTGATTTATCTATGAGACACTGCAATATTAAATGTGTACATATTTTACATTAGGACTTTAAAAACTGTTCTACATTATATAATCACTGGGGAAATTGAAAAGAGATACAGACAAATCCACAATTACAGTTAGATTTTTTTAACATTAATCTCTCAGTTATTATATAAAAAGTAGATAAAAATCCAAGATATAAAAGAACTGAACAATATTATCAACAAATTTAATTTGTCATATATGGAACATTAATCAACAACAGAATCCACATGGATTACATACCAGAATAGTCCAAATTCTTTTTTTTTTTTTTTGGTGGGAGAGGGGATTGAACTCAGGCCCTTGTGCTTGCCAGGGAAATGCTTATTCCACTAAGCCATCTCTCCAGTCCCTGAATAGGCCAAATTCTGAGTCACAAAAATACCTTATTAAATTAAATAAATGACACAAAGGACTATTGTCTAACTATAAACGAAAATAAAAGCCAACACCAGCACATTAGTGGAAAATTCTTTAAATATTTGTGAATTAAAGAACACAGTTTTGTAAATAATGTGGAATAAAAATGTGTCAGAAAATTAGAATTTTGAACAGAATTAAAATGAAAATACAGCATACTAAAATATGTATTATGCAGTCATAATAGTTCTTAATTCATATCACCAAATGACAAGAAATCCTTAGAAATTTATGTCATCGAATGTTCCACCAAAAAGGCAAAAATCCCTAAAGCAATAACATACTTTCAAATTAATAAACTAAAATGTGCAAATGATTCTTAAAGAACAAACTAAAGAAAAGAAATAATATAGGAGGAAAATAAAAAAACTAAAACAATAGAAAAAGGTCAATAAAAATAAAAGGATTTCTTAAACTATTAATAAGTTAATATATCTCTAGAAAGTTAGGAACAAAAAAGAGTAGAAACAAAATTCTAATATCACTAATGAGAGAAGAGCTATCACACATGTCTGATGGTTAGCAAAGGACTACTGGCAACAACTCTACGCACGTGTATTTGACATCTTCAATTCTTACATGAAATGAACTGATTTCTGAAAAGACAAATAATAAACATAAAGAAATAGAGGGGGTCTAATATTCATTTTAAAGATTAAATTTATAGCTTAAAATATTTCAAAGAAACTCCAGCAAAACCCAGGCCTAAATGACTAATGTATTAGGCCAAATATTTTTGGATGAAAAATATTAAATTTTTTTTTTTGGCTCCGAATGCCTTCAGGGCAGGTTTGGCTGGCTTGAGTTGTGAGGACTGAACCACAGCATCCTGAGCCTGACTGCTTTGTTGAAGCAGCCACTTAAAGAACTGAGCTAAGGGGCAGGCCACTGAAAAATACTGATTTTGAACATTGTCTTTCATATAGCAATAGAGCCACTTGTCATTTTATTTTTACATAGCCAGCATTACGCTGATACTAGAACCAAAGATAGTAGCAGAAAACTATGGACCAATATTTTCAATATAACATAGACAAAAATTGTCAACAAAGCAGTATCAAATTTAATTCAGCATAATATTAAAAATTGGCTGGGGCCAGGGAGATGGCTCAGTAGAATAAGTGCTTCCCTGGCAAGTGCAAGGACCTGAGTTCAATCCCCAGTCTGCCAAAAAATAAATAAATAAATAAAAATAATAAATAAATAAATAAGTTGCAAGATATAAGAATGAAAGATTGGTCATCATTTAAAAATCAATCAATATATTCACTAGCCTAACATGAAAACTCAATAGTCATTTCAATAGATACAGAGAAGTCATTTAATGAATCCAGTGTTGTCCCTTTATGGTAGTCTTTTCAAATAATAAAAAGGGAATGGAGCTTTTGTAACACAATAGTGTGTTTTTTTTTTTTTTTTTCAGGGAAGGGTCCAGGGTGTTCAGGGTCTCACTAGTAGATCAGACTCATAGTGACCCGCCTGTTTACAGCTTCCCAAGAGTTGGAATAACAGGTGCATGCCACCACACCCAGTCTCAATTGCCATCTCAGAGCTCCCCAGGGGTAGGGCCAACAGAGCAGGCCCAGGATCGAACCCTGGCCCCTGAGCCTGCTTGCAGGAGCTTTAATCCGCTGAGCTATTTGGCCCGCCCTAATAGTGCTTATTTGCAAAAACAAAAACAAAACAAAGCAAAAACCTCTAGAAATGACATCACAATTAAAGTGAGAGGTTGAATATTTTCCTCCCATAATTGCTACATAGGAATTATATATATCATTACCATTCTTGTTCATCATTTTGCTGACAGTTCAAACTTGTGAAATAAAATAAGAAAGAAAAAGCATAACATGAAAAAGAAAGAAAAAATATTAGAATCTAAAAATCTGGGGAGATAGCTCAGTGGCATAAGCATTCTGCCTGGCAAGCACAAGGTCCCAAGTTTGACCCCCAGTACTGCAGGGTGTGCTGGCCACAGAACTGGGCATGGTGGTGCTCGCCTGTAATCCCAGCACTGAGGGAGGCTGAGACAGGAGAATCACTATGAGTCTGAAATGCACAGTGAGACCCCATATCAAAAAATGTTTTAAAAATCTAAGAACACATAGAGTAGCAAATAACAACTGAAAACATTTAAAAAAAACAGGACTTTTTAACAAACTGAAATATTGGGTAGGTATAAAAAATTGGTGACGTATAAATCTACCAAGTATTCTCAAGATCTATCTGCTGAAAATCTCAAAACATGTAAAAAAAAAAAAAAAAAAAAAGAAAGTGAAAATTTAAATAAATGGAAAAGCACGAGGTGTGTATGGTTGGAAAGCTCACCATAATCAACATGCTAATTCTTTTTAAATTTGTATATAGATTTGATGCATTTCCCAACAAAATCCCAGGAGGACTTTTTGTAGATGTGGATAAGATCTTCCTAAACCTCGTAGGAAGATGCAAAGAAAATAGAATGTAAAATTATTTTCTGTAAAAGTAAAGTTTGAAAATTCATACTATACATTTTATTTTATTTTTTTCATAATGTTGTTGATAAACAGATAGCAACATACTATACATTTTAAAGATTCACTATAAAGTTAAAGTCTGGTTGCCAAAACCATATGGTATTGCCAGAAGGTCAGTGGATTAATAACAATGGATTACTATAGGCATTCCAGATAGAGACTCATATGAATATGGCATTTGATTGATTTGGTTATCAAAATTCAAAGACAACTCAATGTGAAAAGAAAAGTCTTCTATATAACAAGAGGTGCTGAAACAACTGAACATTGATATGCAAAAAGGAACCTCCAGCCTTACCTGAAACCAAATTAACTCATAAAAATTTAACGAAGTAAGTGAAAAATTTTGTAATCTTGAGTAAGACAAATACTTAGATATTACACCGAAAGCAAAATTTATAGAACAAAGTACACTGGACCTCATAATAATTAAAACCGACTGCTCTGCGTTCTTAGCTAAGGGAGTGGAAACAAAGCCAAACAGGAAAGAATATTTTAGAGTCAAACAGGTGATTAAGGACTTGTATTCAGACTATAGAAAGAACTCTCAAAACTCACCAATAAAAAGCAGCTGAAAAAAATGGTAGAAAAGATTTAAAGATACTTTATTAACAATACGATTGTTCAGTACGTACATTAATTTTTAACACTACAAGTTACTAGGAAATGCATCATCATAAAATTTCATCATACACTTAGTAGAATAGCAAAAATTAACCAAAAACATTGACAATACAATGCTGAAAGTATCTAAAGCAGAATTCACACTCTACTCATCCCAATGGAAAGTGAAACAGCAAACTCTGGAAAATCGGGCAGTTTCCTGTAAAGAGAAACACATGCTTGTCATATGACCTCTGAGTATGATTCTTCAGTATTAATTCTAGAGAAATAACTTATGCTCATGCAACACAAAAACCCTGAGCACCAATGTTTAAAACCAGAAAACATTACTCATACTACCCCAAACTATAATCCAATTAGTTTTCAATCATTACATGTGTCAACAACCATGGACTACTTCTCATCAATAGAAACAAATGAATTTTTGATACACATTAGCCACATGATGGAGTCCCAACTGTGTTGTGATGAGGTATGGCATTCTGAAGAACACAGAACTCTAAGGATAGAGTTAGTGGGTTCAAGGCTTCTGTGTGAGGGGAGAACCTGGCCACCTCCTGGGTCCTAGGAGGGAAACTGCGAAGGGAGTGGAGTCCTGGAAGTGATCTAGAACCCACTGTGATGGAGCATAAAAGAATCTGTGCTGTGCTCAAACTTACAGGACTGAACATAAAAAGCAAATTCCACTCTGTGTAAAGTAAAAAGAAAAGACTAACGTAGAGACTGAAATATATGTTATCTGTAATTTACATATATACACATTTGCTTTATATTTATTAATAAATATATAAGTATATACTATATATTTTATATTTATAGACCATATTATCTTCATAGTCAATTTTATTATCATTGCTTTTTTAATTACCACTTTTGACAAAATTAATTTTAGTTTTCTAAGAAAAGATAAAACTGCAATAGAGGATATCAAAATCAGCATACTTAATGTTTTATGAGCATATGTGCTCTGCTACTTAAATAAATTTTGAGATTGCAAACTAAATGTATTTCATATCATTTAAAGATATTTGCACATCTAATTTATTTGTAGTCATTTGTGTACTATAAAAATAACAAAGGAAAGTAAAAACTATGTTTTATGACCAGTGTTTAATCGGTTTTGCAGAGAAATTATCTAGGTATCCAAAGATTGCTGAAGAATGTATGCAATGTGTTAATTATTGAAACTGTCCTACCAATTTGATCTGAAACTATCTCATTGATATTTGTTTATCAATAAATTATGGAAAAAAACAAAAACAAAGATTGTTGAATAACAGAATTTCACTTTATTTCATATACTTAGACTAAAGATCTAAAAAAGAAAATTAAATTTAGAATATTAAGTCTTATCATTACAAAATTCCACAAGATTAAATTCTTTTTAAATAACGATCTGTCAATTCAATTTTATTTAGTAAAACCATTTTAACATATTTTTCTTATGTTAAACAAATTTTGGAAAAAGTTGCACCTTTCAAACCCATGGAACTAATGCATCATGTTTTAAAAATAGAAATTATGAGAAACCAAACTCAAGTCTGGTATAACTCAGAACACTGTGCAAACATTATTTTTTTTACATGGTGATAAAACCAGAAAGATGAAATAGCATTGCTGATAATCTAAAATTTGTTAGCTTTAATTTGTTCTAAGGTTCATCTCATAAACAGGCATATTTTGAAACTCCTGAATTCATTCCAAAAGCTTTGACTATCTAGCTTTTCTACTTATCTGGAATCCAAGAAATTATCCAAATTTGGAGTTACACAGCTTCTCTGACACAGTATTTTGGCTGAAGAAAACATACCAAATACACACACACACACACACACACACACACACACACAAATGGATACAAACATGACAACAAAACCACAGTTCAATGTTTCTCTTTCTTTTTGTAATTTTTTTTATTTTCTGGAGTAGACATTCCTAAAACATATGGACAATTAAAACTTTTAAAAAATAATGAATTAATCTCTGAAGTTTCCCAAGGGTAGAAGAAATGAAAAGGAAAGAAGAAAAAGTAGTTGGCTTCAGACAGTTTAAAGTTACTGTAAAAGACTATCGCTCCTCTGAAAAGAGGGTAGCTAGTCCACTCAGGCTACTATAACAGAATAGCATAACTGAATGACTAAATAACTAACATTTATGTCGGGAAATGACATTTATTTCTGGAGGTGGTACAGTTGATGTTTGGTGCTGGCTGACTTCCTGGTTCAGAGATGGCTCTCTTCTCCTGTGTCCCCAAAAACTATAGTTAGAAGAGGGAAAGGGAACTCTGTGTCTCCTTTGTCAGGTACCACTAGAGAGGACTCCACCCGCCAGACCTAATCACTTCCTAGCGCTGTCCTGTGAGGGGTAGGGATTCAGCGTGAATTTCAGGGAGCCATCAGCATTCAGTCCTTTAGAAAGGGAATAGCTTTAGATGTGGGCAAATCGGTTTGCACACATACATGTTGACACACACACTGGCAGGGAGAGGCAGGGAGAGAGTGAGAGAAAATTCAAGATAAACACAAACAGCCGTTCAAACAGGCCTCTGCCAATTCCATCAAACATACAATCTCAAATGATACTTTTGTTTTTCTGAGGTACAAGAGCAAAGAAGGACATTTCTCCTTTGTTGTCCAAGTGGTCTCCTTTTAAATTTATAATCAAAGAATCTGCTCATGAGAGTTTATTCCCTTTTCTTTTGAATGCATTTCTTGGAAGCATAACCTTGTTCATGTTAAAATTTCCCGAGGTGACCACTAAGCGTCACAGTGTCCTTAGTGGAGTCAGGCCAATTAGTGAGAGGTGTACATAAAATAAAACAGTAGGAGGAGGCTTCTGCTAGGCGGGCAACAGAATGGGAAGAGCCTATTAGCTGTGCAGGAATTACTTTGGTCTCTAGAAATTGAGCAAATGACGTCTTTAATGTATCTAGTGAATGCTGCAACTCTGGGCAAACAAAACTATTGCCAAGATGAATTGGAGGAAACGGTTAGTAAAGCGTTGCAAGATGATACCAGAAGCTTTGCCCAGATGAAATGGATTTGACAACAACTTCTTGACCAGCCAGTTCTCAGGCTGCCTTGAAGACACGTTTGACAATCCTATGTCCATCCTTTTCTATAGATATCATCTTACACGCTCAAGGAAAAGCAGCAGGGAAAGACAGGAAAGTGAGCAGAAGCAGGTTTCCACTGTAGGTCTGAGTTTTTAATCAGGAAAGCCCAATCAGGATTGCAGCGAAAGATTAAATAGTATTTCCTTTTTTTTTTTTTTTTGTTTTTTTACAGAGTATGAGTGATGAACTCAGTATGGTATCTAGCTGTAGAAATTATAAAGCATATCATTCTTAGTTTATTTGTAGCTGGATTTGCAAGACTTCGTATTCAGGTACTTGTAGGGATTATACTTTGTACTAAATTTTAGTTAATTGGCTTACTGAATAATTTGTGATTTGCTTCACTAAAGATTATGGGGCACAAAATACCATTTATAAGATACTTTAAAGGTGGTAATAAAATTTTAATATTTAAAAATTTTAATATTTTGACCCAACTGTCAAGAGGCTTTTTGTGTAGGTGAATAGATAATTCTATAAAATATAAAATTTTACAGAATTTTATAGAAAACATCATTATTTTCTTTCTGTAGCCTGTCTTTAAAAGAATATGATGGGGGGGGGCCGGGGAGATGACTCAGTGGAATAAGCACTTCCCTGGCAAGCGCGAGGGCATGAGTTCAATCCCCGGTTCCACCAAAAAAAAAAAAAAAAAAAAAGAATATGATGGGGCTGGGGAGATGGCTCAGTGGAATAAGCACTTCCCTGGCAAGTGCAAGGGCCTGAGTTTAATCCCTAGTTCCACCAAAAAAATATGTTGTAGTATTTAAAATTATGTTTATTGATAGCTAATAATAAACACTTTTTTATAAAGTCATGTTATTTCATCAAGTATTTTTATGCTTCTCTTGATATAAACCACTTTTCCTGCTTTAATAAATATGTATTACTAGGGTGCCCTTTTATTCTTCATAGGAAACACACTCACTTTCATATTTCTTCATTACGCTTTTGGAATAATTTAAAAAATTTTGTTTAGAGTTTCAGCATCTTTATACATAGTCACTACCTGAAGTTTCAATAGGCTATATTGGGCTAAGAACTCATTTAGAGAAAACAGAAATTCCTTGTTTCACAAGTCAAAAGGCAGATATAACAATTATAAATATATATGCATCGATCAATGACACCCCAACCTCATAAAACAAACAATGCTGGACTTGGTAAACATCAACACACAGTTATAGCAGGCAACCTCAATAACTCATGACAACAAATACAACAATCCTGATAAACTTGCCATCAACACATTACATGGAAAGAAAAAACCTGAAAAGCTTTTTTTGGGTGACATTTTTGTCTTGTTCCAGATTTGAAAGCTTTTTCTCTAAAGTCTGGAACAATACAAGAATGTCTACTTTCACCATTCTTGTTGGCAACATTACTCAAAATTTCCCAGAGCAATCAGGCTAAAAAAAGACATTAAAGGGACAGATGTATTGGAAAGGAAGTGGTCAAGCTGTTCTTATTCATAGACAAAATGATCATTTACTTTAGATGACTCAAAATATTCCACCAAAAGACTCCTAGAAGTAGTAAACAAATTTAACAAGGTAGCAGGACCTAAAATCAACACAGAAAAATCAATACTTTTCCTGTATACCAGTGATGAACCCATCAAGAAATTAGGAAAACAATACCATTCACAATAGCTTTGAGGAAAATAAAATTTTTAGGAGTCAATCTAATAAAGGAAGTGAAAGGTATCTATAATAAAAGGTATGAAAAAGGATGTTGAAGAGGACATCATAAAATGCAAAGATATCCTCTCTTTCTGGATAGACCAAACCAATATCATATTTGGCCATATTTCTAAAACTGATATATAGATTTAATGAAACACCAGAACTAGAAAAAAAATCATAAAATTCACTTGGAACCAGAAGACACACAGAATGCATAAAGCAGTTCTGGGCAACAAAAGCAAAGTAGCAGGTATCACAACCCCAGATATTATGTTATATTACAAAGCTACAGTGACACTAACAACACTGTACTGGTATAAAAACAGATGCATGAATCAGTGAAAAAGAATAAAGGAAGGAGAAACAACTCCAGGGACATTCAGATATCTGATCTTTGAC